TATATATTATATTATATTATATTATACTATTGTTATATTATATTATACTATTATTATAATATATTATATTATATTATACTATTAGAATATTATAATAAAGTGGCAGTTTCATACATACTATGGTGATCCATTACACATCTTTTTTTTATGTTTACTGACAAAATGAAAACATCCTTAATCTTTCTATGATGGAATTGGCTGTAAAGCGGTGCACTGATTAAATATAACCATTATGAACCATGTCTGTACACAGTAACTATTGACTGATACTTTGGTGATGAAGTTATATTAAATGTAAATAAAGTGTATACAGTATTATTGGTTGAGATTAAGAACTTAAACAAGATGTACCAATCCAAACACTAGATACTTAAACTCATAAGAACCATACCATCTGTCAGTCTAATTCATTCGATCTACATTTGTAATTTGTGAAAATCAAAGAATATAATATAATTGTCATTAAAAAGCAATAAGCACGGAAGTACATGGCCTGGTCATAACTCAGTTAATGTTGCTTTTATCTTGAGAAAACATTACCAGGTTCTTTCATATGAAAGCTATAACTAAATCACTGGTGGTCACAAATATTGTTCAACAATTCCATCCGATTTTGTATTATAAATCTGTTCATAAATTTATACAAACATAATCACAGGCCCGTAACCTGGATTTCTTCAATGGGGGTTCCTAAGGCAGCCAAAGGTCTAGGGGAACCTAGAAACTTGCTGGGGTCGGGAGCAAGCCCCTTAAAGCAGAAGCATTACCGGTACAGCATTTATGAATTTCATAAATTATCATTTTCACATGATTTTTTATGCAAAGGGAGTGGTTTGTATTAGGAGCGTTCACTCAAAAAGGGTCCAGCTAAACCATAAAAACAGTAACCCCTAGTTACAGGGCTTAGCAACAACACTTTATCATAATAGAGAGGTTTATTAAGTTCTTCCTCACTTAAATCCAGGCTCCAGAGGAAACAAAATCTTTTATATGTTGTACAACTGATGTTTATAAGACACAAAAAGCATATTTGACACAAAAAAAACTCGGAAGCGGTGAATGAGATACAGATTTTCTAATATTTAAAAACTGGCGGAAAATGGGGCTTAACCACCATTTTTCCAAATTTTTTCAGCCAGTTTTTAAATATTGAAATACCTGTATCTCATTCACTGCTTCTGAGTTTTTTTGTCAAATATGCTTTTTGTGTCTTAGAAAAGTTGCACAACATACTGTATCAAAAAAAAATTCCTCCTGAGCCCTGGCCTTAAGTTAAAAGTAAAAGGTACTGAAAGACAAATAAAAAATAACTAATTGATATTTTGCTTATATTTTTGCAAAATATTGACCTTAAGAACTTTTTAAATATAGATATTATAATTAAGTAGATAATCTGCTTAAAATAGATTTGTTAGCATGTCTTTCATCATCATAGAGCATACAGTAACTATGTTATGGAGAAAATAATTACAAAAATCCAACAGCAAATGCAATCAGAGATATATAAATAGAAATCATATGTGACTATGTCATAATCTACTTCTCTCCTTATAACATAGCTAAAGTTAGTGAAGAGGAAGTCTGTAGTGTTATCGTTTATCCTTTAATCACTCAATGCTAGAGTTCGAGTAGATAGCAAACCTAATCTGTTTCGGCCTATACCTTATAAGGAACGGACTGTAAAATGCAATGTAGCGGTCTATCACTTGTCTTAATAGCGAGAAAAAGTTAGATTTGAGATACTAGAAATAGAAACGTTATTGTTGATTAGATGCCTATCATCTTTATTATTCAATAGATAGTATCATACAATCGAATTAAAAATTAAGATGCTGCAAAGGCCAACTTGGGGTAAATTTATGAAAAATAATTTTTTTACCAGGTAGTATGTACATATTTATATTTATTGATAAAATTTATATTCAATTAAGATATCAAGCACTTAACACAGTATACACTCAACTCTAAAGACAAGTACAATTTACAAGGCCTAGAAAAGACAGTAGGTGGGCCTATTACAAAACCTCAATTCAACTGAAACAAGACAGTGGGTTGTCAGTAACAGTACTGGATTTAATTACGATGCTCACTCAACCAGAAAGGAATTTAAAGCTCAAGTTCTAGGAATACCAGAGTAATGGTCTTTACTTCATACTGTAGTTGTTGTTTTAAAGCCAGGTTTTGTGAGCTAAAAAATTCCTGTAGGAATCACAACATGGAAACTAGAATCTTGACTTTAAAGCCAGGCCCCGGAAGAAACATTTTTTTGGATATGTTTTACAACTGATACAGATTTCTCAATAGTTAAAAACAGGGGAAAAGGGGCGTAACCACTATTATTTTTTTGTGTCTCATAAAAATCAGTCTCATATCAAAAATTTGTTTTCTTCTGGAGCCTAGCTTTAAATTTCAGATTTATCAGCAACTGTAACAACTGTAATTTTAATTTAAGATTGTATAATTATCAAAATGAAATACACTTTTCTTTCTCTTCAGGGGATCTTGACTACCAGTATAGCTGCCTTTACTCTAAGCAATATGTTATGAGAGACGGCACTTACTTAAGATATGTCTTTCCAGCGAGCAACTCCCTAGTCTTCCATAACTACTATGAAATGCTACAAAATTTCTTGTCTTATCAAGCCAACTAATATATTTGTGATCTTAATAACAGTAGGCATTACATAATTTTATATCAACATTTTTTCTAATATTTATATAAATAAATAAATATTTATTTAAATAAGTCATACTAAAGCTAACAAAATACTGTATCCAATCATGTTATCAATACGAAATTGGATTTACTAAAACAAAAAAAATTTGATCCCTGAAGAGAATCAATCTTCCTGAAGTTATTATCAAAGAAATGATATACCAGTACTGTATTTTAGAGATAACTAGAACAAAATGTATGCATTTCAGCAAGGATGTGAGTATTGTATATGATCCCTAAAATACAGGCTTAGTAATAAAGAGGATGTTTGGGTTAAAGAGGGCCCTACCAATCTTTTTGATGACTTCTTACATACAAGTCTTTCAATTGGGTGAAAGATACCATCTATAATAATAATTATCTTTCCTGACCAATCATTGAGTACCTTTGATGTTGCAATTGATGGTGGTAATGATGGTCCGTTGATTACTTCTTCATGTTGTATCTATTTTAGCATGTCGATACAAATACATTGGCCAGAGTCAGTCAGTCACTTGAATACTTTAACTCCATTTGTCATGAAATTAACAAAATCTCAGCAAAATGAAAAAGAATTAACCCATACGTTTAAAAGAACACATATTAAACAGCTAAATATGGAAAGAGCTAAGCAGACCTGGAGAAATAAGTTTATATTCTTCATAAAGACCAAATTATTGGAGAAAACATACAGTACAGGGGAATGAGTTTTCAAAAGAAAGAGAATCATGGACAAATACCAACCAATTGAAAAATAATCTTTATGGTTTATCAGTTACTATGGTATGTTCACATGCATTTATATTATGCAGTCTATTTTGATTATTAACACTTTATGTAATAGGATTGCTTAATATGGTATTCATGTTGGAGATATGCAAATTATTACGAACTTAAGGGAGTCAAAAGCAATATTCACTACCCCGTATTGCTGTACATAAAAAAATCCAATTATCAAAGGGCGTGTGTTCTCTACTGGCGATGCCACTGCTGGGGACCTGCTTGGGTTCCAAGCATTCATGTCACATCCATGTACAGTGGTGTGAAGTATTTATTATAATAAATTACAAAGGAAACCAGATAATGTATGTACAGTACTATAATTCGAATAGATACACTTTATATAGCAGATGATGCGCAAGAATCCCCACCGAAAGACCCCAGCGATGGCGTCTGTAGAAGGAAAACAATCACTGCATAAATGGCCTACATTCTTACTAAT